TAGTTTGCTTCGACATCAGCAACTAAATATCAACATGATTTGTTGACCTACAAAACTACATAATTCACTGCTATTTACAGGTAAATTTGTTATTTTTGGTAAGTATAATAGTAATAGACACTCATTTTATTTATTAGAGAAAATTTTACCTCAGTAGCTTTGATACTTAAGGAGAAACACAGAATGAATTTCTTTACATATTGATGACCAATATCTTAAAAAATTAGTTTGAACAGAAGTTGTGTGGACACCAGCATTAGCAAGGACTATGCATTTGTGTGTGTGTGTGTGTGTGTGTGTGTGTGTGTGTGTATTTAGGACAGTGTCTACAGGGTCTCACTACATAGATCAAACTCTTAGTGATCCTCCTGTTTTCAGCCTAGCAAGAGCAGGACTATGTTTTTTCAGTTGTAATGCTAATGGTGGCTTGGAGGGCTTTTTTCCCCCATACTTGACATATTTAGCTGTTGTACTCAATCATCCCTTTTTTTTTTTATCTTGCATTCACTTTGAGTAACTCAGAAAAATGTCTAGAGAATGAATGAAAACATTTATGTTCAGCCCAACATGAGAATAATACATGTACCATTTCTCCATGAGAGCTTCAACTTTGAAAGTCATTTCTTTTGGCTCACTACAGGGTTGCCACTTTCTCAGTCAGTCCCAAACTTTAGTGAGAGCTGCTTTGTGAGCATCTAAGTAGTAGAAGTGAACGTTTCACTTCCTTGAAGTTATTGTAATGCTTAGCGCAAATGATTGTTTGCACATCAGGAAATAAGAGTTTTGATCGGTGGGTATCATCATAAAGAGTTTCTTGGGTCAAGAAGATGGACTTCTAAATATGAACTAGTTACAGAACATTGAAATTTCCCTTCAAGAGGCCCAATTAAATCTCTAGTGTCTTTACTGGGCTCTAGATGTACCAGCCTGGTGCAGTAATACATTTTTCTTTTCTCTCTAGGGAACAATATGCTACCAGCTTGGTATAAAGGTGAGGGTGAAGAGGTTATTTGTCCCTATAGTTCCTGGGGGGAAATTGTAGTATCAGGACACGAAAGAAGAAAAACTAAAATAAATATCCGTATAATAAAAAAGGTTACTACTTTTTTTGTCTTTAAATCAAATATTTTAAATTTATTTTCAGAGACTTACTATAAGCCATACTTTGCTAAATCACATAACTCATGAAGTTTTCTATGCAACT